TTGGGCCTGAAATTGAAAGCTCGCTGCACCTGCATACCGCAGAAAAATGCAACCCGATACTTCCACTCATGAACCATAGTTTGAGCGCGGTTCCTACACATATTTTACTCAACAATACGCATCAGAAGGAGAACACTGGCCGCTGGGAGAGAGCGCTAGCGCATCGTTTGAAGGGAATCACATTCAGTTATGAACGTGTAAAAGTAAGATCGGCCGCACACCGTGACGGCAGACATCAAAAGATACAACGAGTGACTATGCCGCAAGATTTAATTTTCACCGCACTGTAAAATAGGTGAGGTCGCTTTTTGTCGCGCTGCATCCTCTCTCAAAACTTCATTCCCGCCGGAAACCCAGTGATTTTCGTTCCACTCCATCTTCTAATCAGAACTTGTAAGAAATGGGCGCCCACATTCAGATACATGCTATTTGGTGGCCCTTCCGCTCACCTACAGCCAACATTTGTCGGAGAAGGAGCGCAGGAGTCAGAAGCTTTCGAGAATGCTATGTTCCAGATGCAGAGGCACACACACACACACACACACACACACACACACACATACAAACACATTATAGAAGTTATAAAATAAAATGCACCAACCACTTAGAAGATGCATCGTTATCACCACTGCACGTGTCATCAGCGCTGCTCTGTTCGTCCTCATTTCCATATTCCTGCCTCTCATGCTCCTTTCCCTTCTCCCCTACCTCCTCCTCAGCCTCCATCATTTCCTCATCTTCCTCCACTCTCTCCACTTCTTCTTCCATATCCTGTTGTTTCAGTTCATACACGAAACCTATTCGTTTCAACTGAAATAACAAATTTTAAAGACGTATACGAGCGCATCTGAAACAGGAAAACAGAGGGATTCTGAAACGACAAGAAGAGAGCCGCAAGCGCTGTGAACTTGTGATCAGCGCATAGGAAAAGCGGAATTCAAATCAGTGGAGGGAAAACTAAGTGAATGGAAAAACCCTACTGCCTCTCTCCATTTCCCTCTCCCCCATTCGACAAGGGAAACAAAATAACGATTTAGAATGATAAAAAAGCAGCTGTTTAGAGCATCGACAGAGAACTGTGATGGAAAGAGCATTCGACTTTTCCAGGACCATCCGGAACAATTTACGCCAGACTTTGCATAGCATCGCACTTTCCGAACAAGCGATCGCAATTTGCTTACTTGTCATCTTTCACAATACTGGTCGTCTGAATTTTCAGGTGACTTTCAAATCTAATTTAGTACTCAGAAATGTATGAACTTTAGTGACTGCCTCCCTCCTCCTCCCCTCTTCCGTTTCTGCTTCTCCAGTACAGGTAAGCGAAGTTGACTAGACTTCAGCAGCTTAACTAGCGCATGTAAAATGCCTCAAAGCAACACACACCTTTCGCCCGAATTCAAGTCGTCGAAGCTTTTTTGACTTCTGTTGATATCTTGAAAAATCTTTGGAAAGGCGTTTTTCAAAAGCTATACAATACGATTCGTAAAAGTCACTCCATTCTTCGTCGGTTTTGTACGGAAAAGCACTGCTCGCTTCCGGGCTGCATAATTCAGCAAATGCCTAAAAATCATACAGTAAGCTAAGAGAGTTCGACAGAAGAGGGTGCATGTGTTTTCAGAAGCCATTATAACCGGGAACAGTTGCTCTGTTGTTCCGCTACTTTAATACACACCTTACCGGGACAATCGATGTAAGGAAGAAATGTCAGTGGTCCTACTGAACTGCTCCCGTACGCCAGGTGTAGCTATGCCGAGCCATCTCTCTCCTCCCCGGCGATTAGGCAGGGCCGAATGCGTTTCCAATTCGAAAGCATTTACTAACTTCTCTTTGAGAACTCCAGCCCTAACGTTTTTTACCGCATTTCCGGCATCACAAAAAAACGAAGGGAGAAAAGTTCGGCAGCAAAAGTTTGCAGTTCTCATAAATTCCGAGCTTTCATGGCATGCCAAGTAAGAAGTGAATGTTTCGAACAAATGTTCTGAGACAATTTCGTCAAGTCAAACCTGAAACAGCCTTATCGCCGTACTCATTCCTCTACAAGCTCAGAATCGAGCAGAACAGAAAAGTCATCATTTCATCAACGTAATTTAACGATAAAAGAGCGCTTGTTTGAAGCACTAAAGCAGATCGATATATGTTTATTACGAGTATAAGAGCGAAAAGAAATCCGGAGAGCAAAGATCATCTATCGCTGCGTTTATTAACACAGACTGGCTGGAAAACGAACCTTCCTCACATTCTGGTGTTCCTGAAGAAGTCCGCAAGGATGATATTTTTTATGTAGCTCCTCTTCATAGGCTTCCAGTTCGATCGCTGTACAGTAATATGACACTGGAAGTGGCGGTATTGAAAAATACAACACAACTGGTTAACTCTAGTCTACCCAAAAGCCTGTTCTAAATAATCATATTTATGTCACCTTTTGTGTTAGAAATCCAATATTCCATACGTTAACAAGGTAGGGTAGATAAACACATGAGGACAGGAATTAAGACGAAAAGAAATAAGAATTTTATCCAATAAAAGTACGGACATAAAAAAAACCACGGCTTTATTGAAAAGGTAAGAAAAACGAAAGAAAATTTATCGATTCAAGAAACTATAAGCCAGCCGCATGAAATAACCGCAGTAACACGGTGAAGTTTCGAGTTCACCAAATCAGAAGGGGCGCTATTCGTGGTTTCTCCAATCAATAAATGTGGAATGCTTTGCCAAAGGACACGAAATTGCAGTTCCAGCGAACGGTTTTGTCACTAATCTAAAGATGGCTTTTTTGTTCAGGCCCATCCGCTAATACACCACAAAATTGTGCATTTTTATCCACTAAATTGTGCATTTGCTGTGGTGCCCATGATGCGCGCATGTATGCAGTATGATTTGATACGTTTTGTCTGATGAATGAGTTGCGCAGGCTGAAACCGATAAACTCAGCAACCGGGCGCCCCAAAGAGCAGCAGCCGGCTCGTTTGTTCAGCAGCTCGTATTTTGAAAATCAAAAAAATGCCCTTGCAGTTGCTCTGTGGCTGCTTTTGTATTTGTGTAACTGCAATGACAAGCTTACTGTAGTTGTGATACCATGAAGTATACAAGAGGTAGTCGCCGTTCTGCTCCTTATAATCCCAGTAATTGAGGAAATGTGGTGACTTCTCACGGACTGTGGTTTGGTCGATTGGTGCGGCCTGATGCACCCTCTGCGATTTTTTACGGCTTCCTCCAAATTCCGTTGGCAGACTCAATTTCGCCATCTCTGAAAAGCATGACAGGGAACTATATCCTGGCAGCAAAACTTACAAAGATGCACGAAAATTTTTCATTTCATCTTTTCGTGATCCTCCTGCACTCTTCCATGACAACTTTTCTCCCAAAATAGGGTGATTCAGCAGAGTCAAGTATATTCCCGGAGCAGCGGTAATTTTCACATTTCCGTCACACTCGAAAATTTATATAAAACCTTCATCCGTCAATAATTAAATGAAAATGTAGTGCCTTTCGCCAGTTCCTCGTCCATACTACTGTGAACTTCTTCCAGATTCCCACTGCTGTAGCCTTCCTCCACCTCATCCTGATCTTCCTCTTCTCTATTTGCTTTCGATTTGTTTGTTTTGTAAGCACGTAGCAGCAGATGAACATCCCTGTAATAACAAGATGTGTTTATTAGAGGCACCTAGCAAAGGAATTTTCACTCAAGATTTATAATAATAACATTATCATTATGGTGACAATAACGACAATAATGACAACAACAATAATAATACAATAATGGTAGTGATGATGACAATGCTAATGATAATAGCGGGGATGATAAAGCCAACAATCAATTATTATAAAAATGTGAGGTGACAACGGCAAGTCTGTGCAGGTGGACTGTGCGGGTACTCCGTGTTAGTGATAATTACTGCGATAATTTCACATTCCGGCAAATCTTACAGGAGCCGAAAAGAACACTTGCATCGCAGGCACAGTGAAGAGGCAGGCACATTCTATTTCTCAATGGTATCCAGGGGCAGAGATGCATTCGATTGGAGGACCGACAGTGCCATACCTGTTCGAGCTGTCCCATCCTTGGCATGCATACCTCTAGCCGATGTAGGCCGCCCGAGTGTCATTTACCTTCTCGTGAGCACCGGGCAACAATCACTGACTGTCGGTAAGGCGAGCCAACTACTTTCATGCATGCGCACAAGATCATCTGGGAGCATGTCAGATGTGAGCTGGGCAGAGATGCATGGCTGTCCGGGTGAAGGAGACATGCCAAGCACCCTTCGCGCTTCATTCCTTCACGGCACAGCGACTTTGAAGAAGTTGACAGTTACGTGTAGTTCGCCTGAGGAAGCATCTCGAATCGGTGTAATTCTCTGTGTGACAGTCCCCGCTTCCTTCCAGTGCTACTCTACTCGTTGAGCACACTCCACCCGCGAAGCCTATGGGAATCGTTAAAGCTTGCATTCGCTGCACACCGCTTTCGTTATGCATTGTGCAGTGCAAGGAGCTCGCCCTACTCGCTGCCTGAATCAGGCCTCCTCCTGCAGCGTTCTCTTTTTTCGCCACATCGAGTGCTCTCGCCGGAGAATGTACTGAGATTTTAATAAGAAAAAA